AGAGGGAAATCATGTATTAAGGTAACTTTATAGTTTTTTTATTAAAATATAAATGCTAATCTAATTTGGCATTTGATTTGGCATTTTTATTTGTACACGTAATCAAATTATATGATGTGTTATTGCCATGTTATAAAAAAAATTAAAAGTTTTTCTCCTATGCCCTACTTAGGGTAGGGGCAAAAGCAGCAGGTTCCTTCCTAGGGTCTCTCTCCGACAGCGAAGCTCCTCATTTTTTGCTTTTCTCTTACCCTTTCCTTCCCCTTCTTACTCTCTTCTCCACTTTCGTCGCTTGTCTTGCTTTGGAAACTTCAACCCAAGGGACCACAAGGCAACAACATATTTAGATCTACATTTGGGGGTGTTTTATAACGGCTTTGACTGGCATAGTGAGGGAATTGATCCTGCTGGTGGTTGGGTTTTCTCCTATTTATCGCGGAGGAACCTCGCTTTGGCACATCTCTTGGGATGGGATCTTGGCAGTGATCAAATTTGGCAAGGTTAGTTCCTTCCAATTTTCGATCAAGCTGCCAAATCTGGAGGGAAAGGGATGTTGTGGGTGACGCTAGTTATGGTTGGCACGAGAAGCATGGTATTCAAGCTAGCAAAGGGGCTCTAGTTCCTTTAATGGGGTTTGATAGTATGGGTTTGCAGAGGTTTGGCAAAGCTGGAAACTTGATTGGGGGTATACGACGACGATTGGGATGCCTGTGCTTGTACGGGGGATCGGCAAAAAGGAACAGGATACTGTTGGTGAGGCCGATTGTGTTCTGCAATGGAATAATCGTATTCAAGGCTAGGTTGTATTGTGCTTGCATAGGGGGGACTATGCCCCTCCTTTTGTTGGTTAATTTTTAGAAATAGATTAGGCGATAACCTACAGGTTGAGGACTATTTGTTATTGGAATCCTTACTCTCCTCATGAAGCTGGTTAAATAGGTGAGGACGTCCAGTAGCTTTCAATGCTCAAAGAGACTCTCATTTCTACCTTAGTAGTCCTATTTAACCCATATAGCAATTGCAATTGCAATCTCTAGTTGCAGATGGCTCTCTTTATTTAATTGTCTATATTCGTCATGAGTATAGTTTAAATCTGTTATTGGTACTGTAGGTTATGCTTCTGATTTTGTCTTTAGGCTATACTGCTTTAGGCTATATGCCCTATAATGGAGTTTTTTCTGTACTTCCTTTTTATTTAATATAATTTCTTCATTTCTTATAAAAAAAAAAAGAAAAGAAAATGCTATTGTGGAATTTTTTAACTGCCATGTCATAGATGATTGATGGAGGGATCAAAATTGTGCAGTATTTAGAGTTAAGGGATCAAAAAAGTGTAAAAAAAAGTTAAGAGACTAAAAAAGTGTAAAATCATAAAGTTGAGGGACTCAAATTAGCATTTAACCTTGTTAGATTTGGTCATTAGAAAAATATAATATAATTAAGGAAAATATTTATCAATCAAATTTTGTAAAAAAATTAAGCAAAAGATATTTTAAAATTGTACGTTTTAATTGATTTTTATTAAAAAAAACTAAAATATTTTAATTTTTAAAACATGAATAAAACTATTTTAGTATTTTGTTATTGTGATATATTGAAACGATATAATTTTAAATATTCTTCTGCTTAACTTTTTTTATAAATCTAATTAATAAATATTTATATCATATAGTTATAATTGGTAATTAATAAAATATCTCATCTATTATTTACCAGTTTAAAATTAACTTATAAATTGATATTTTCGAACATTCTTGCCAGCTATAAAAAATTACATATAAGTTGATAAAACTAGTCAAATTAAACAATCTTATATAAAGATTTATCAAAAAGGAACAGTCGAAGGACGGGCCTAAGATTTTTGAAAGCAATAATATATGATAAAATATTTTATTTTTAGTAATTTTTATATGTATTTTATTGTAAAAAATAATTATTTTTTTCTTTATAAAATTATAATTGGTTTGTATTTAGATTGCGTGGTTTAGTATTTAATAGCTGCATAATTGAAAAAGTTTGAATTTTTTTAGTCATAGGATAATGAGTTATGAAAGAGTAAACTATCGTTTTATTGGATAATTATTAGTATATTTTTCAATTTAATATCATTATTAAAAAATTATGTTTTTAAATTTGAATTTAAGGTGAAAAAAATTTCAATTATAGAATTTAGTAACTAAACCAATGAATATTAATAGGTATATTAAATCGAATGATATACCAATCATTTTTTCTTTTTCTTATACATACTTGGTGCTTGATTAATTAACTTTATGGGATACACTTTTTTGGCAAAAACCCTTCTTAATCCCCCCAATGAACCCCAAAATAGCATTTAAGCCTCTGAACAAAAAATGAAACAGATAAACCCTCCAACTCTACTAATGATGCAAATAAGCCCTTCTCATTCATGAATGTTCAAGCTTTCAAGGTGATATTAAACATGAAATACTATTTAACTCATTTGTGAGAAAGACTTATTTACATTATTAGTGGAGTTGGAGGGTTTATCTGCTTCATTTTTAGTTTAGGGGCTTAAATGCTATTTTGGGTAAGTTTGGGGGCTTAAGAAGGATTTTTGCCCACTTTTTTTTGCTACATTTTTTTTTAATAGGAGTATCTAATTAGCTTAATCTCTTTAATTGTTAGTTAATTTACATATGGCTTGTATGAGCTCTTAAAAGCTCATAGTATTTATTATTTTTAAGTGTTTAATTATGTACAAAATAGACTGAAAATTATGATAAAGAATTAAACACAAGGGATAAAATAAAGTTAAAGAAGATAAATATTTGTCCATCTTGAATTTGAAAAAATAATTAATTTAAAACAAAATTTTATTTTTATTTTTACCCTATAACTTATAGGTGTTGAAACTTAAATATTTTAATAAAAAAATATATTTTATAAATTGCATTTATTGTCATATTAAGGACTTAGTCAAACTAGTCATTGTAGGTTAATTGTTCTACTTAAGAACATATTATTTCATAATAATTGTCCAATTTATTTCTATTATTAACCTACAAATGAGAGTTATATGACTATGAGTTCTATAAATAGGATATGTCTTTTTCCTCAATCAAGGAAGTTTCTCCACATTCTTCTACTTTCTTCCCTTAGTCTATTTTTAAAATATTTTTTTGGTAAAAAATGATGTTTTTAGTTAAATAACTCTATGAGTATTATAAATTCATAGTGTTATTATAAAATTTTAGTATCCTGGGGGCGACATGGTATTTACATATCTGCTGCACCAATTGATCTACTTTCCACATATGCATGAATAGTGTTAAAGTAAGTAAGTTTTCCATGCCCAGTTTGATGATGTTTTCTTATTGATATTTTTTGATAAGTTTACTAATTATTATTTTTATTTAATCTTGTAACTGAGGTACAACAATAACATGAGGTGGAGATAGAGAAAAATATTTGAAGAACAACAATTTTAAAGCGATTCAATATGCAAAGCAAAATTGAAACATATATCACATTGTGTAAGCAAAATATAAATTATTTGTTTTTGGTGCTTCAAATAGGCATGAGTTCTTAGATCCTAATATGATTATTAGCACATGCTTGAATGGTAGGCTATTTGTTTTAATGGCATGTGCACCCAAAAAAAAAAAAAAAAATCAGTGCATAACCGATTGCTATCATATGTTGCTTTGCAAATGAATATACATATTTTATCATGAGATGTCGGAACTTAATAATATTATAAATTTGTTTAATCTCCAACGGTTTGAAGTATCATAAATGGGAATTGTTAGTATGAATGTATTGTTTATAAGACCAACCATTTGCTCTTAATGCATGCATATTAATTTGGAGATTTTGTCAACAATGAATATATCACACTAGCCGTTTGAATTAAAAGTGATTGTGGAGCAAATATATTAATATTTGGGATATAAAGGCTTTATAAATTTGAGGATACTTTCTTATGCATGTAATTAGAAATGCATGTGTAAGTATGTATGACACATTATAATTATTTTGTTATTTATGAGTATTAATGTGCACCATTGATATATAATAAATTGATGATTATTATTTTTTTAACTGTAAAAAAATGGTGAATAAATATATATTTAATTAATCATATTTTGAGTTTTTTGATGAAACAGGTAAAAAATTTTGTGAACCAAGTGAAAATACTAAGAGAGTTATCCAATTTGGCCCATGTAATCAATGTTTTAAAACCCGACCCAGTGGTTGACCCATTTTGGTCATCGGGTTTAGTTCAATCGATTTAACCAGTTCAATCAATCGGTTCAACGATCATTTAAAAAAAATTATTTTTTAATATTTTTATTAGATCTTACTCTTATATATATATATATTATTCTTAAGAAATAATCACTACAAAATTAACTTGAAAATCATCATTTAAGCAACTCAAAATAATAAATTTAATTAAATATAAATAATTTTTAAGATCTAAACTAATAAATATTAAAGTACATAATATAAAATAAATTCACTAAAACATTATAATAAGGGAAAACTTAATTTTAAACTAAATTCACTACAAAATAAGACTTGAAAATTATAGAAAGTCTCAAATTAAATCCATAACAAAGATGAATGTCAAATAAATAAAGCAACATTACTAATTGATTTGTTTTGGCCTAAATGAGGAGCATATTCATCAAAATAAGCATTTAGCTCTTGGAAGTCATGCAATAAACTTTTTCTCTACATGATTGTTGTGATTGTGTAGTTGCAGCAGTTGAATTTTGTCTAGAAGATGACATTTTCTTATAATTTACATAAATATATAAAATTATTAAAAAAACCTCTAAATCCAAGCATGATAAATAAAAATTTATTTAAATTAAAGACGCTGCATTAAAATTTAAAATCATGTCATAACAAATTAAGCATAACAGATTAAAAATAAAATAAAATTAAGCATCAAAATATTGATATTCACAATTTCATACATAATTTTTCTAAATCTTACACCAGTACTAATTAATAAAGAATTAATTTCTATTAACAATTAATAAACTTGTAAAACATGTGAATTTGAGAATGAATTTCAAGGTAAAAGCTAAAAATCTCACTTAAATCAAATGCCCAAGAGGAGAGAATGAGTCACGAAGTCACGGACTGCCTCTGTTGGGACGATCTGTTTCCTTTACTGCCTCTTTTTGGTTTGGTGAAGGAGAGGAAGATGAGTGGTGGCGGTGTGAACAAAATCAGGTGGCGATGTGAGCAAAATCAGGGACGATCTGTTATGCTTTGCTGCTTCTGTTTGGGTTGCTTTTGTTTGGGTCGCTTTTGTTTGGGTTGCTTTTGTTTGGGTCGCTTTTGTTTGGGTCGGTAAAGGAGTGGAAGATGAGTGGCAAAGGCGTGAGGCTGTGAGCTTTGTCAGGATGCTACCCACGGAGGAGAGGTGCTGAGCTGCCGGTGGAGATGCAAGGAGATTAGAATACTCTGTTGCTGATGTTCAGTTTAGCGAAGGAGATGAGGCCGACGGAGGACTAGTGAGTGAGATGCCGACAGAAGTGGAGCAGGGAGATTAAGTGCTTTGCTGCTTCTGTTCGGCGGTGGAGATGCCGACGAACTCACGGAAATGGAGCAGGGA